TGAAACAACTGAGCATCTTAACCATTATAACTGCTGCCACCAGCATCCCCGTTATAAAAGCACATGCTTTGAATTCTCAGTTCCAGTATTAGGATGACTTAAAATAATTCTGCCAGTCTAATTATGGAGTTATATTATCTAGAAAGGCCTATAATCCTTATTTTCAATCTCTGTCTATTAGACTGTCTTCTTACCTCCTCAACTTTCAATTACTCAGTAATATTTTAGGAAAAGTCAGAGTTCTGACTTTTAGTCAATTTAAATTGGTCAACTTTTTTTTTTTAAATGGCATTGTTTATTAGGAAGAAACCTTTCATTCTTCTGATCCCTTTACTGGGAAGTAATGTTCATGAGCACAAGTTTTGATTACAGTTGCCTTAAAGACCAGTTTTGAAAAGTCTTTTGTTTACTTGAGCAATAAGTTGGTTGCTCAATGATACTATCAAACTGAGAACAAGAGGAAAGAAAAGTCAACTTAACCTATAACCCAAATGAGAACATGTTTCCTGGGATGAGAATGTGTCAAAGGCAGCATATCATGTCCTAAATCCCTTGTGTCATCAGTTTTGTATCATGTGTTATAGGTGAATTATCTTTTTTGTAAGTTAGGCCAAAGCGTGCTCCTTCAACTAACTGTGAAAGCATTCTTGAAAGCCCATGAAACCTTATTATTCTAATTACCAGCACAAGGGGTTGATAAATAAATTATGAGGCCAGGTATTATTGTCATTAAATAGACCTTGCTCAATTATTTATCCCTGGGTCTGGGGTTACAGCTCAGAGAGCTGTGCATATTGTACCAGGGCTTTGAGATCTGAGACCTGGAGACTGGATTACAGTCTTGGCAGGCAGCTTTTGTTGAATGCAATTCAAGGGGATGACACACATTTTTCAGTTAGATATTTGGATGGTTTGAGGCCACCAGATAGTCAAAGTTTATCCACAAGAGCCTATTTCATTTTAGCCATGTAGATAAATCCCTTTAAATTATCCAGATCAATACAAATGGGTAGGAAAATGGACTCACTACAGGAAAAATATAAAGAAAATATGTTGCTTTTTAGTTTTCAAAGACTCTGCTCTTGGTTTTTTTGCATTCTGACATCTGTTATGGGTACTTTAGTGTGATAAGTATCAGTCAGTGTTTATCTCCATATTGACTAGTTTCTTTTTGTATCTTGTTTCTAACAGCACAGTGAAAGATGTTGTCTTCTGGTTAAGAAATGTGTTATCAGGGAGGATGGGATTGGGTGATACTAGTTTTCTTCCATCCTGAAATCATGCCAGCTCATTGTAAAGGTCAGCCCCCAAAATAGTGTTAAGGTGTGTTCTTTCACTGAGCTCTTCCACCCCAGTATCCCCTCTTCTAGGCCGGAAAGGTGCAAGGGTGCTTTCTTACATCCCAAGAGCATCAGATTAGGGGGATCAAGAATCTGTTCTTGCTTAACAATTCCCTGCCCACCGCATACCCCTGGCTTTGTTTTAAAGTCATCCCCTAGATTTCTGATGAGTTGAGTCTAGTAGTTATTTTGGCCAGGGTGGGAAGTGGGCAACAGGAGGCTCTAGAATGGCTGGTCAGGGAGCCCTTAGGTATGAAACCTGGGGAAGATCTCTTGAAGGATCGAGGAGCGGTTAGGGCATTCGGGCACTTGTGACTATGTGGAGTAGAGTGAAGTCCAGTCTTTCATTTGAAAACCGTCAGGATATGTATGTTGAGGGTGGGTTAGGGTAGTAATTGGAAGAGAAGTATGAAACTATGCTTAGTATCAGGGATAAATTGGCAATTTAAGAGACAAAAAATAAAAACTTGTTTAGATTGTCCAAAGGAAAATATATCTATAATAACTGATAAGAAACCTTATGAATGCCATGAAAATAAGTTTCTGTATTTGTTAAATGAATTTATAATTAATTTTGTGGTGACTTAAATTTGGTTATAACCCTGACTTCCCTCTCTCTCTTAAATCTTGCTAGTTTAATGTTCCTGTAACATAATTATCAGCTCACAAAATTTAAAATCTTGTCAGAAATATGGAGTAGAATAGCTATGTCTTTACACTCCTGTCTGCTTAGAGCCGTCATGTTTTCTAATTGGCCACTCAGCTAGAAAATGATCTAATTCTAATAGGCCAAACTGATGTTCTTTAATTATCTGCTAATCATCAGGAGCAGTGGATATCCCCATAAAATAGTCACCTTGTTACATTTGAAAAACAAATTTTGATTTTACTACTAAGAAGAATATTTGGTCCTCCATTTATATATGTTTATTATAATAGAGAATGATGTGATAATTCCTGTCTATACTTGGTTTTATGAACTTCAAAATTCTTGATGCCAAATAATTGCTATAACATGATGTATAGGTTCCTAAAAATTTCTACACTATGAAAAATTGGGTAATGAAAACTACAGGGCTTGCAGGAAAAATGGGGATGGGGCACAATATTCAGAAACATCATCAGTGACACATTAAAAAAAGATAGAAATTTAAGAAAACGGCAGCAACATTTTACACATGTTTAATGGCTGAGAAATACATAAACACTGCAATAAATATGGCAGTTTACCTTAAAAAAGACCTGAAGTTTGCTTGTGGAAATGACAAGATTGCAGTTTGTGAATTATTGTGAAGCATGGAAGGAGGGTCATTGTAACACCAGCTCTGAATGGATGAGACTTTTCTAACACATGGGGTGCCATGAAGTAGCTGGTTGATGAGGTGTGTGCATTTTGTATATATACTGCTAGGTTTAGATGGATGTGTTTTTTTCTTGTATTCACCCAGTGTTTCTTGTAGATAAAATCACATGTAAGCAAACACAAAATTTGTGTTATGTTCAAATTGTTCCGTAATATAAAACAATCATGTTAGAACAGATTCTTGGTTTCAAAACAAGTGTTACAGTGGAATTGACAGTGTAATAATCCCTTCAACACATTCACATCTATAGTCTCATCTTATTCTCGCCACCACCCCAGCAAGCAGGGAAGCAATTGCCCAATTTTTGTTTGTTTGAGAATCCTGACCTGTTAAAAGCTACACAGTAACTGAAGGAAACTGTGCCAGAGCTTGCTCAGGTGTGTGCGAGTCCTGAGCTAGTAGTCTTTCCTCTGAGAAGTGGGATGCTCCTTAACGTGAGTACAGAGAGTGACAAAAACATGGGCAAAGTTATAGAGACAAATCACAGAGTCTGGGTTAGAACTCAGGTTACTTGATTTTCAGCTTAGATCAGTTCAACATTTTATAAAGTGTCTGCTAAGTACCACACTCACTCCTGTCTTATCATCTCTATAATACATAGTTAAAGCTTAACTGTGATAACGGTTTTTTGATTGCGTGGATCTAAAAACCCAGCCATGAGAGCTCAGTTTATACTTGTTGATGGGGCTTTATTGAACATTTTAAAATGTGTAGAATGTTCTAGAAACTGTTTTTCAATTAATCTTCACAGCCCAGAAGTCATGTCAAATGTCAGGGTGTTTGACAAGGCCAGCCTAATAAATCTTCTTCATTTCTAGAAAGCTGTCCTAGTAAGTTTCTGAGAAGACCGAAGGGAAGGGTGCAATCCCAAAGTCTAGGAATGATTTTTCCTTCAAGCATTAATTGATGTGGAAAATACAATTATTAGATACTCCCTTGTCTCTGTCTATCCAAATTATGCCATTTAGGTCTATTTCAAGAAGGTTTCAGTTTACTAAACACCTCCTATGGTCAAAGTAGTGAACAGTGCTGTGAGAGATACAAAAAGGACAAGATATTGTCCCTGCCATTAAGGAAATGATGTGGGAAGTCTGTTTGATGACTGAAGAGAGTCTTCTCTGTTGTGCTTGTGTTTTTATGGCAGGTCATGGGTGGGTGCACATGCACAGGTGAGTAATGGGGCACCATTTTCTAGTTATCAGCTAAGTTAGCAGACGTGCTGTTTTCATCACTGGGTATTGTAAAATCATGAGTTTAGCATTGATACTAAGGAACACAGAAAATCCTTCACCAACTTAAGGATGAAGTTTCATTTTTCACTTTTTAAAGAGTACTTTGTGCGTTGTTTATTTATAGTCATGTGTTGAAGGGGCTTGTCTGTAAAACCACATATTCCAGGGGCCACCCGACTGACGACAGCTTTATACCTGTAGAAACAATGTCCAGGTTTGGATTATCCCTTGGTTCTCTTGGGTTATGCATTTTATGGCCCTGGAGAGGTCAAGGCAAGCCTGGACTGCCTCTATTTTAAAAATTCTTTTCATATCTCAAACAAACAGCAATAGCAAAAATGACTAAAAAGGTTACAAAAGTTGTATATTTAACATGTTCACTTTATCCATTTTGATGAATTAATGCTTTTTACCACAAACACAAAGACACTAATGTGACTACTGTAAATGTACAAATATTTGGGAATAGCGTTAAAGTTTAAATTTGAAGCCCTTTCAGAATGTGAGGCCAAAAAGTATTCCTTTCCTTTTCTCTCTTCCCTCAACCCCATTTGCTTTACAGAGTATGTTTTTTCTGTTTTAAGTCATAATCGCTTTTATGAGATTAAATACCAGATCAATAAGTGTGTTCTATGTCAGTTTGTCCTAAACTCCCTGCCCTATTTTTTTAAAAAAAGCAATCCTTAAAAAAGAAGGAAAGAAAGTATTTTAAAATAAACATTCTGACTGCCAGAATCTGAAGTAAACTTCAGATTCAATTTTGTATGTGGTAGAAATGAGAAGAACTAGGGTTCTCTATTTTGACACTTAGCATAAATTCCTTGCTTTTTGATGACTCCAGTGAGACTGAAATATCTCATTCTTTCTGACCAGAATTTAAAAACTTAAACATCCATTACAAGTCCCAAGGTTAGGAAATTCAGCTTACATTCACTTGTTAAGGGTTTGAAAGTGTCTAGAAGAAATCAGGCAGTAGACCTAATAAAACTGAATATCCACTACCTTTATACTGTATTAATCTCAACCCACCACCACCCACCCCTTATTTTGTTTTATTTCCTCAGGGAAGCAAAAAAATTTGTGAGTGAAAATGAAGGGGCTCTTGGGAAAGGAAAAGGAAAACGGTGGTTTGCATTTAAGATGATGATGGGCAAGGTAAGTATTTTCTTAGCTCAATTTGGTTGGTGCCATTTATGCTCAGTGGAAGCCAGGTTGCCCCCGAGGGGTGGTAAAATTGGTTCTGTTCTGAGTGAAAAAAATGTTATGCGTTATGTCTATACATAGGTACATATACAGTAGATAAAGAGTATTCTGCGTTACTGAAATTTGGAGAAAGGGATGATTCAGAAAAAAAATTGTCCTAAAAGGCTCTTTAAAGGAGTTAAAATGAAAATAAGTCGATAAACATTGATTTATGGCAAAAGACTGACCTGTGTGCTTTTATCACTTCCAAATGTAAAAGGTTGAGCCCCTTTCATTTTCATTCCCTGGGAGTTAAGGGATTCTGGGTCAAGGTTTCTTTCTCAAAATGTGTACAAGTTACACGGCCATATAGCTGTTCTCTACCATGAACATCAACTGTAGATTGGATAGAAAATAAGAAAAAACAAGTGATATGCCAATATAAATATAGATCTTTGGAAAAGATAGAAAAGAAACTAACATTTATTTAGCACTTACTATGTGCCAAGCACTGAATTAAATCCTTCTATAAAAATTAAATCTTTATATAAAAATTTTTCCATATTTAATTCTCACAGCAAAGTAGGTATGTAGGTATTATTATCTCCTCTTTACAAATGTTATACCACCTGAGGCTAAATATATTCCCATAAAGATGGGAGTTTTGTGACTGAAGTTCATATATCTTAAATATGAAATATTTAGATAGATCTGTAATATATATTTATACATCATATATATCATAGATTAGTTTTGTCTGTTTTTACAATTTAAATAAATGGAATCATATAGCATTTATGCTTTTGTTTCTGGCTTCTTTGATGCAATGTTATTTTCATGAGATATGTTCATGTCATGTGAGTTATAGTTCATTTTTATTTATGTGTTGTATCCCATCGTATGAAGATGCTGTAATTTATTTATCCATTCTGTTATAGATGAATATTTGGGTTGTTTCTGATCTAGGTAATCTTTCAAACTCCAGACTTGTCTCAAATCTTATTTAGGCTCCCCATGTCTGTCTAGCTCACCCATTATCTCAGCATAATCTGTACATGTGCAAAGTTATCTGCCCCATTCTCATTCTTCTTCTTAGTGGTCCTCTTGATCATGGGTAACCCAACATAGTTGGGTAAAATGGAAGGAAGATCTTTTATAAAAACTAATTTATGATTCTTTTTCTTCTTCCTTTTCCTGTAACACCATGCCTTCCCATTTAGCTGACTGTTCTACCTCTACCAGAATGAAAAGACTTAGCACTTACCATCCTGTATAGAAATTACCTGTTTATGTACAGTGTACTTGATCCAGAAGCCCTTCAAGGCAGGAACTATGTCTTATTTATATTTCTTTAATTTCTTCATGCAATGAATATTTAATTAAACACACACCATTTGCTGATCACCTTATTAGGTGCTAACTCAGTCCCTGCTCTCTTATTGTGTGGTAGAATAAACAGATATTTCTCAGTGGTCAGCATATTTTCTGTAAAACAGAGAGTCAGTAAACATTTTTTAATTAAATTGGTCCAGGGGTAGGTGGGGAACAGGGAGGCAAGTGAAACTAACATCTTCCCTTTTTACAAAAAGCAATATGTGATGCCAGAGAGATCTTTCCAAGCTCATTGTCATGAGATATTTTGGGATGAGTGTGGGAGATAAACATCTTAACAAACAAGCAGTTGGGTTTTACTGTTGTACTTGGCTTTCTTTTCAGAAATGGGTAAAATTTCTCCGTGATTTTGAGAACTTCAAAGCTGCTTGTGTCCCCTGGGAAAATAAAATCAAGGCAATTGAAAGTAAGTGCTCAATCTCATTAGATGGGGAATGCTGCCCTAGATAAATGTCTCATAAGCTAATCAGATGCCTTTCTCAGTTTCTGAACTATTGGAAAGATTAAAAACAAGAAAACAAACAAATAAAGACATTTTCATGTCCTCTTTGCTCACTGTGAAGATTTGCTAGCACTTACCAATCACAGCACTGGAGACCCCATTCTCCCTTCCTGCATTAGACCAAAATATTTTTTTGACCTTGATTTTTCTTCTACACATGGAAGTCAGTATAGTGCACAATGACACTGAATCATCATTGGGAAGGCAGAGATTTTATTTCGGCAATGAACGTGACATTGAAAGTAGGTACTTTAAATATTATAAATTAACTATATTTCAGTTAAAAAACTCATATACAAATATCAAAAAAACAGAAAATATATATTCACTTGGATGTTAGACAGTAATCAAAATGAACAATGTCTAAAAACAGTGAAGAAATCTTAAAGTATCATTTTCAAACCTCTGAAGTAGAATAAGCAATAATCATCCAGGAACCAGCTATATGAATATCACATTGTGCCTTCATTTTGTACAATATTCATAGTGTACAGAGAAGGCAGGAGAATGTACTCAATCAAAAACCTATTTAGTATAGGGCTGTAGGCTTAGAATAAGGCAAATAAAAATTTTAAAGTATTGTAAATATGATAGTATGTCATTTCTAAGATAAAGAATATAAGGAAAAGGGGATAACATTTAAAATAATTTTGAGCATAATCTTGCCATATTCTGGTTTGTAATAGTTTTGACTAGGATCTGATTTTCTTCCATGCCCCTCCAGATAGCAGGGCAGATTTTCCTGCTGGCTAAATGTTGCGTTGCCTAATTAAAATAGAGGCTCCATAGGGAGATAACACAGTTGATGGATATTTCACTGACAAGATTGGGCACGTTTTAGGAGTGACTATCCCTCAGTCCTCTGTCCCTCATTATCAAATGGCAATGAATTAAAATACATCAGCTCATTAATGGAACTTCCTCACACATATTCCTGTGCCATCCCTTTCTTGCCTTATTTTCCTCCTCAACACTTATCACTATCTAAAATACTATATTACTATATCTCAATTAAATTTAAAAATAAATTATTAAATAAATAATAAATTAAAAATACAGTCATTTCATTTCATTTTGTGTTCATTTCTTCCAATAGACATGAAGGCAGAGATTTTGGTTTGCTCTTTCCCGGATCCCTAGACCTAGAACTTGCTTGGCCCTAATGAATATGTGTTGAGTAAAATTAAACAGAAGACATTTTCCAAATGCCTACTATTCTAGGAAATGGAAAAAAGAAATTTAGACACATCAAAAAAAGAATAGTCATCATGAAATTCTTAAGTTTTAACTGTGCAGCTAAAATATGGTACCTTGAGAGCCATTGTGAAACAGAAGGCCCTTTAGAGCATTAAGATCCTGATACAATGTGTGTTGAAAGAAGTCTGGATTTTTTTCTTGCTTTGCTACAGATTTGCTGTTTGACTCTGAGCCAGCCATTTAATCCCTCTGAGCCTCAGTCTACTCATTTATGAAATGATAAGGATGAATCTTAATCAGTTATGAGATGTATCCCAAGAAATTTGTAATTAATGATAGCTAAAATATATACAATTTGCAAATCATTTATTTTTAAAGTACACTAGAGCAGGTTCCAGTCTATCTCAATAGCAATGTCATGGTCACATGTGTTGCAATAGCCTATCTTGAGTGGAATAGAAACAAATGGAATTATTTTTATTGCCAGAAGTTGCACAGAGGAATGAGTTACACATATGACCATAATTTATCATGTGTGTCACAGGGGGAAAAACATATTGAGAGCTACTCAATAATACTTTCAGTTATCTTCCCTCCTCCCCTCTTCCCTCAGAAATTTGGAGCAGTCAACCTGGACAGTTCAAACAAATGTGGATTATTTTCCACATTTATTTTTTGATTAGGTTGTCCTGATATTTTTCACTTTTCGTGGTGCTTTTTGCCTCACTGTGGAGAATTGACACTTATTTTCTATTCTATCAACAATCACCATAACAACCATTTATTGAGTGCCACTCAGAAACCCTACAAACATTATTTCATTTAATCTTTAACATGCCGGCATTGTGCATATTAGCTTTCTGTTTTAGAGTTGTGGTCAATAACTGTCCCAGAATAAGTTAGCAGAGGAGCCAAGATAAAAGGTGAAGTCTGTCTGGGCCCAAAGCTTGCCATTTTCTCAGTGTAGTGTGCTGGTTTTTGCTCTGAAGAAGATTTTATAAACTTTTTCTTTTGCACCGGGTCCTAGAGGAGATTAGACCAGGACAATGGCATGATAAGTAATTACAGATTTCCTTGATAGTTATCCTATTTGGGGAACTATTTCCCACCTTCTCATGTATTTATTTTTCAATGAGTTATTTATTTAATTATATATTTCATATTCTATAAGATACGTAATGTATTAAGCTCTTAATGATAATCATAAGTGCACTGTATACTTTTGGATATTGCATTAGTTGAAAAGTATGAAACCTATCTAAGAGTAAATTAGCAGAGTCTTTGGATTGGACTAACCATCTCATAGAAAGTACCTTACCACAGGTAGGGAAAGCGTGTGTCTGTGGTAGTCTTTCAAGCTGAACTGAATGAAAGGTGGAAAGAAATGGGACATGCAATCAGTTTATGAAAGGTTGAGGTCTTCTTGTCCCTTTCTGGCTCTATAGTTTGGGCAATGCTTTGATATTTAGGGCTCTCTATTTCCACATTTGGCTTTTCCACAAAATTTAGTTACAATCAGTCCATGTAAGCGTGTGAAGTTCTTTGCTTTATACTCTTGAGTTATAAGTTATTGAAACAGTTAAATGGAAAATAGACTTATACTAAGAGAGGCCTGAATAATTTACCTTCTCTGCAAATTTTTTTTCAGAAAAAAGTAGGTTAAGCATGTACCCTATTTATAATATTTATACTTTATATTATAAAACTAATATAAATGCTTTTCTCTTAAAGAAATGGCCATTTAATCTTATAAAAGTTTCAGAAATGTTACTATATTCCTTTTAAAGGTCAGAATCATCTAACATAATATCTCATTTAATCTTCTGAATAAGCTTGATGTGATTGATTAATTGATTGAGCAAATACTCACTGAGTGCCTACCATTTATTAGGCATGTTTCTCGGCACTGGGGATGCAATACTGACAAAGACAGGCAAGGGTCGATCTTACATTCAAATGTGTTGATATGTGTGTGCGTGGGTGGAGAGACAGTTCATAAAACACAAGCAAATAAATAATGAAGATGATTATGGACTGTGGTAAGTGGCAAAGAGAAGCACTCTCTTCGTGTTCCCCTCCCAAAAGTCTTTCTAATCCGCCATGCTCTCACTCACTGCTCCATCTCTAAATAAAAACTAACCAAATATTTTCTAAATTTGGTTTTGAAGGAGTCCCAAATTACCAGGCTTCATTAAGTTTCCACAAAGCTCTGTCCCGTACTTGGCAGAATCACAAGAGGAACTCAAGTCTAAAACTCATGCTGTTTCCATTTTGATTCCAGTAGGACCTGGATCCCTATACTAGTGTGGACCAGGTACTCACCTGATGACTCCCAACTTTTTTTCATATAAAAAATAGCTTTGATAATTCTTGTCATGGAGGAATTCCGTGAAGTTCTACATCACATGGTGATGCTGTGGAGTTTTACTATCATGCCAGCCTTGTAAAAGGCCTAGAACCACGTGGTTACCTGCAGAGATGCACCTTATTAACCACATTGCATTGCATATTTTGCTAAAGAAGCTGTGCATTTGTGCTCCCTGGAGTACAAGTATAATATATACCTACTGTGACTCCAGCATTACTGTTAAAGCCATGGATTAAATCATTAAATGTCTTTCAAGCTGGAGATTACAAGTCTTTCTAAGAATCAAAATCTGCTTCTTCCTAATAGTAAACTACAGCATCAAAGGTGTGATAGACCTCTTCTTTTTTTAGACCAGAAGTAGCTTTAGACAGACAACCTTAAGCACAGAGTTTAAACTGCATGTTTCCCTGCTGGCCTAAAGGCACCAGAAAATATGAATTAAATTTGCCACATTTAATTCCCTATCCCTAGACCAGTTTGAAAGAAACTGTGCTTTGAATCCTAGCCTAACAAGATGGTATTTATATTGTACTTTACAGCAGGTGATTTAACTGGTCTTTTCCCATTTAGAAATGTGCATTATTTATCTGCTTGTCTTATTACCCATCTGTTCAAGAGGAAATTATACATGATGACAGACTACAAATTACTCTGCCTTAATAATAAATAACCAGAGGGAGAGATGAAACTTTAACATTAATTCAAAGGAAACACAGAAAATTCAGGAATAAGAATATTACATAAGCTTTAGGCCTCACTTTAATAAATACCAAAGACTTTTCATATATTAATAATTTACTAATGAAATAGCATTTATTAGTTAGATTAAAGAGAAAAGGAATTGGTCATTTATGGGCACAATCCAAATTTGTGAATTTGACCAGCCTTAGCTGATTGATAGATATTATCTGTATCTATTCTTACACACACACATTCATTGCCTATTTATTCTATATAGCATAGTTGTTTTTGTTTGTTTGTTTGTTTGTTTGTTTTGCGGTACGCGAGCCTCTCACTGTTGTGGCCTCTGCCGTTGCGGAGCACAGGCTCCGGACGCGCAGGCTCAGCGGCCGTGTTTCACGGGCCCAGCCGCTCCGCGGCATGTGGGATCTTCCCGGACCGGGGCACAAACCCATGTCCCCTGCATCGGCAGGCAGACTCTAAAACACTGCACCACCAGGGAAGCCCGCATAGTTTTCTTTTAAAAAAAATGAATTTAACTATGATTATACTTGAGGAGCAATAGAGCACTGTGAATAAGAGAAATCGAGATTTGGAGTCAGACACCTATAGATCAAAACTATCTGATTTAGAACTCTGGCTCCATCATTTACTATCT